CATTCTTGTCTTTAAAGGGTTAGTTATTCGGCAATGGATATATGCGTAACGGTTAGTACAAATCAGCCTCCCTCCCTGTCTCTAAAGGCTGGTCAGCAGTTTATTACAGCTCCTGACAGCTCATGAGAGACACAGCCGCTCTGCAGAGCCTGCTGCCACCCCAACAACTCAGAGGGACAGTACCAGTGACTGCTCGTTCACCCTGCCCTTGGAAGAATTGACCTTCATCGTATCAAACAGCAGCTTCACAAGTTCCGGCCTCCCTTGGGCGATCACGGCTTTGCAGAGCCAGATCACCTCCGGTGTGCGATGGCAGCAGACCACCCTCAGCTCCTGCTGCAGGCGCTGCCACGGGAATTGCTTCTCGGCTTCCTTAACCCGCTGCTCCACCTCCTGCGTCAGAGTTTCTGTCTTCAGCTTCTTCTGACCAAAGAGCACGAGCAGTGGGTCCAGGAGGCACCACAGGCTCTTGGTGGAGACTGCGTCGTTCAGTTCGATGGCCTGCTTGAAGCTCCTGATGGCAAGGGTTTCCTGGCTTTTAAGCCACAGGCATTTGCCCCGGAGGAGTCACAGTTCGGGTATGGTATCACCCAGGTCCAACTCCATGGCTCCATCCAGGAGTTTCGGCCACCAGGAATCGTTCTTCCATGATGTCTGTGATCACATAGTAGTAAAAAATCGTAATGGGGGTGGGGGTGGGGTGGGGTGGAGCAGGACAAAATGGGGCTTTTCAGGAGAAAAGAGAGACCAATGGCTGAGACATTCCCCATTGGGCTCTGGGGAGAGGAGTAACAGAGTGTGGCTGGCTCGCTCTCAGCACCCTGTCCATAGTGTACATGGGGGGGCTGGACTCCTGCTCCCATCTTTGTGTCTAATGTCTCCTGGTAGCTCTTCGCTCCCATAAGCTCTCTGAATTCCCTCCAAGCTCAGGCTGATGCCAACCATAGCAATCCCTCCGTTCCCTGTTCCTGCCTTCAGCCCTGCTGCACCCTTCCATCTCCCTCACACCTCACTAGAGCTGAGCCCAACAGGAGGGAGAGGCAGCCGAGGGCCAGTCCCCTCAGTCCTTGTGGACTAACTTCAGGGCTAAGAGACAATGAAAACCAGGGGACACTGCAAGGAGCTCCCCTGGATCTCAGGGGTATGATATGCCCATCCTCACCTAGCTCATGTCCAGGTTTGCCCTCAGGCACGGACGAACCTTGAGGACACTTTCAAGGTCATTTTTAGCATGTATGAGCTTTGTCCTGTCAGGCACTGGGCCCTGTCCCATCTTGGCGTGTTCCAGATCTTGCAAATGCGTCTTCATGTGGATCTGGAAACCATCATCTTGTGCCCAGTTGCCAGATGGGTGACAAAATGATGAGTACAAACCACTAGCACACATCAGGACAGCTCCTTGGCTGTGCCAAGCTACACCAGAGCGCCAGGCCAGCTTGCCCAGCACCTCAGTGTCCAAAGCATGACCCCGTGGTTAGCAGTACCAGCAAAGGTGGTGCAAACCCCTGAGATGCTGCTTGTCCTGTTGACCTTGGCTGTAAATTTGGTTCCTGGTCATCACGGGGTCCTTGAAAGCAACTAGCCCATCTGCTCCCCCTCTCAGCCTCGAGACATGGGGGCAACATGCCCTGACGTGTTCAGAGATTGAACCACTTGGCCGTAGCAGTGCGCCTGAAGAAGGGCTGAGAAATCAGAAGCCTTTTTCTTGTGTCCTTTCAGCTTTCTCCAGTCTGATCTGGCAGACAGACATCGCCTGGCAGCAGGTGACCACCTCTGCATGACAATTTTCAGCCTCTTGCCTCAAGCTCAAAGGAAGTTAAACGTCTCTGAAGAGTAGTTGTAAGCACATATTAAAGTACTCCACTAAAGGAGGGGATTTCACTTCACTGAGCCTCATTTTATGAGTTAAATAATCCTGCTAAAATATAAGGAAGTAAGAATGAGTCCTTATTTTATTTAAAAATTTGATTTAAAGAAAGCTTTGTGATTCTTCTGTAGTGGGAAATACTCACTAATGTGCACAGTGGGGACTGGAAATGGGCAAAATCAAGGGATGAAAGAGCACATTTTTGGTGCTCTTGAGTGATTTAGGAGCATTGAAGTTATTAAATAGGCGAGCCAGTTCTACGAGGTGACTCAGCATCCCATGAAACCTTGCCCAGAGGGACCTGGGGAAGTCTCTCAGCAGCTCAATGCCAGTCAGGATCTGGCCCAGATTTCCTGGCTGCCAGGTAGCAACTTCACTCCCAGACCAGCCTTCACTGGTTTTGTCAGACAGGTGCCTCTCCCTACGTGTGTCTCGCCACAGTTGAACAATGCAAACGCTGGCTGGCAGAAGTGCTGCAGCTGTCTTGGAGGCTGCTGGAGGAGGACAAGTCCCCACGGGAAGGGGACCTGCCTCCCGCCTCAGACACCCAGGACGCTGCGCTGGCCCCGACAGGGACCTACCTGCACCCGGGTGCAGTACTCCCACTCCTCGAGCTGTGAGACCTGGAGGACCTCCAGTGCCATATTGCAGATCCCTTTGGCCATCTCCTGCTTGCCCCGCAAGTGGAAGATTTTCGCCAGGCAATTCAGGATGAGAGGGTTGTCTTTCACTGTCTCTATCACCCGTTCGAGCCACAGAGGTGAACCATGGTTCTGTCAGTGACTTACTGCCTGCTGTGCTGATCAAAGGGACAAAAACATCTTGAATTGATTCGCCAGGATGGTGTTTTTAACTAGGAGGGTTTAAGGCTATACAAGAGATGCGGTCTGTGGGGAAAGCTGATATCTGTTATTAAATCAACAGACACGACTGAATGTGGGGCTCAGCTCGGGGGTTATGTGCCTGAAAGCATGTCTGTGCTGCTTATTTTTCCCAGCTGTGCCAGGGGAATCTAATAAAGGTACTGCTGTCCCTGCAGCCTTTCACCGAACTGCTTGCCTGCTGCTTTGCCAGGGGCTGATTTGTACCATTGGGGCCAAACACGTGGCTTGGGAGGAGTGTGCCCTGCGCACGGTGGGACTGAGGGTCTCTGCTCCCATCTGGGGCCTCCCCTCTTTGCCCTGGGGGATTTCCAGGAGGAAAAGCACTGAGGATGGGGGAAGGTGAACGAGGGCACTGAATCCCTCCCCGGCGCAGCAGCGCTGGGCATAGCACCTTGCCAAAGCAATCAAGGAGGTCGGTCTTAGAGAAGCCACAGTCCTAGATCCCTGTCAGGGTGGTGGAAAACATTTCTTTCCTTTCCAGCAGCATCCCCGGGTAGCACCAGGCCAGGGCTAAGGAAGAGAAGTCAGGGCAGGTGAGAGGCAAAGTCATTCAGCGGCTGAACCTCTCTCCATCCTGTGGAGGATTTGCAGTTTGGGCTTGGGGTCTCGGCACAGGGAGGTGGCACACCCTGACCAGCCCTGGGCACGCTCTTACACAGCTTGTAGGGTCTGCAAGCCCACGGCGCTGGCTCACACGCCTGGCTGACTAACGTTCCTGGGTAGTTTCATTCCCTCCGGTGATGTTAGTGTAACTGCATGACTGCAGGACAATGGTTTCATGCCCAGTGAAGCGCTAGTTTTAGGGCTTGTCTTAGATTTGCCCCTCGGGAAGTTACTGGGAGATATAAAATTACTGCACATCCCCTGCACCCTGGCAGCTACCCAAGGTGCAGGTGCTCCCAGGTAACCCTCGGGTATTTTCAGACAGCCCCTCCTGAGCAGACAACACTTTTGAAAATAAATAACACTGATAAAAATACCTGCAACGGGAGCGAGTGGCATAGCTGGGCAGCAAACCCTGCTTTCTGCACCAAACAGCAGCCCAGCGCCAGGGAACAGGCTTCCCCAGGCCTGGCTTGCTCTCATCCCAAACGCCATGGGCATCAAGGGGGCTGGCAAGCCTCCTCTGCAGAGAGCACAGACCTGGGTCTCCTTGCCCAGACCCACCAGTGCTCACAGATGCGGCAAATAAGGTGCCACAGAGGCCACAAGCACCGAAAGCGTAATTTTATTGCCCAAAGTGGGGTTAGCAGATTGTGCAGTTGCTTTAAGAATATATTTTTTAGCAGCTTAGAGATAATTTATCCTTATGAAAGCCCGGTAACCGGTTGGATCAAACCCTGAATATGTTGCTTTAGCCAGGTTGGGAGCCTCCGTTACAACCAGGACCCCTGCTTGACCCTGCTGTCTGCCAGCCCTGGCTGCTTCCGGGAGGGGGTGTTCCTTGGGGAACCTCGATACTGGGTGCCGCGGTGACGGCTGCCATGGCGAGGGTTGCCACCATCCCCACAGCCCTTAGGGGCCAGACCTGCCAGCGTGGGGCTTCAGGCGCCCCCTGGGGACATGAACAGCCAGGTGAGGCTTGCCTGAATGCATGGGGAGAGCTGGGACTTACCTGTGTAGGTCTTCTCACCTCCCAGATTGTCTGTGCCCACGGAAGCAGCTTCTTGCACAGGGACATTTTGCACATGACAGTCCAGGAACCCAGTGTCAGGCTGGGAGCACACTGGGGTGGAAGGGTGGGACATGGGCTGCTCACACCGGAGCTTACTGGCGCCTTCCTGGTGGAGGAGTGGGATGTGAGCAGCAGATCCCCACGTCCATCTCCCCTAATTACCCCTCTCCACTCGGCTGCGGAGCCATGGCTGGCTGAGCATGGGCTCAGCCTCGTGCTCCCATCCCGGCGCTGCTGACAGCAGTGCTCCTGCTCTGAGTTGCAGGGGAAAGCACCAGCCTCCGGCTGGGCCAGAGTAGAGAAGCGCTCCTTGCTTAGTCAGCTGCGCCATTTCCAGTTCAAGGAGATAACGAAGAGGCGCAAATGCCAGATCAGCGCTGGGTTTCACCCACTCTCCATGCACATTTGCTGGGGGTGAGTGGCCAGCCCCGTCCTTGCCCTCCCCACTCTCCTCCTGCAGCAGGAAAGGCTCGGCCCAGGAACGTACAACATCAAGGACTTCCTGCAGGCGTCAAGGCCCTCCAGCCTCCGGGGGATCTGCGACACGAGGGAGCCGCGGTTCAGAGATGCCCACAGGGTATGTCACACCCTGGCATGGGAGGTGCTGGGGAACGGCGCCTGCCAGCTGCAGGACTTGGCTCCGGGCTGACTCCTCTGAAGAACAAGCCCTTTTGCAAGGGTTCGGAGCTACCTGGGGCACCATCTCTTCCTGCTGCACTGGGGACTGCCCCCCCTTGCCAAGGCTGCCCATGGCCACCCCACCTCTCCCGCAGGACTGCTTCCCTGGCCCTGGTGCGTATGGGAATCCCTACACCCGCCTCGATGAGAGGGACAAGCGCTCTGCCAGCACATGAGGGCTGATGGATAGCAGGACAGCCAGGTGTACCCTGCTGGCAGCCATGGTGAGTCCTGCTCCTTGGCCTGGGGACATGCTGGTGGGGTGGTCCCGTCCCCCACTGAGTGCAGCCCCCACCACCTTTCCCCCTGTGCCTGCAGGACAGTGGCCTAGGACCTGGCACCTACCACCTGCGGAGCAGCATGGACAAAGGGCTGCGGCAGATGGGCGGCCCGAGCCCTTGCCAGCCCTTCTTGGGGAACAGGTCAAAGCCTGCTGGTGGTCGCCATCACACCTTGGAGGTGCGTTGCCCCGGGGTCCTGCACCCGGACAGGGTTCGTCAGCAAGCCGTGGCATTGGCAACACATTGCTATGAGGACAGACAGCTGCCTCGCACCAGTCCCGCTTGGATTTTGCTCTTTAACTTCCCTTGGATTCTGGAAAAACATGCCCATGCAGCTGCATTTGGGGAGCAAACAGGCTGCAAGCACCATGCAGGAGAGTGGGCTGGTGCCCATAAGCAGTGGTAGGGCTGAGCTCTTGTAGCACAGGATGGATGGGGAGGCACGAGAGACCACTGGCGGCTGGGCTTCTCATGCCACTCCCTTGTCCCAGCAGAGGAGAGGCACCGAGCTGAGCACTGGCACTGTCAAGGGTTTCGTGGATGAGCTGATGTTGAAGGAGAACAAGAAAGGCTGCTTCAGCACCCTGCCGAGGAACCCGTGCTGCCCCACGGAGAGAATCTTCTGGGCCACGCTCAGCCAGTGCCCGAGGGAGGCGGTCAGTGGGAGCATGGACATTGGCACCAGCTGGTGTCACTGGCATCCCCGGTGGTGCATTGGGTGCCTGGAATGGGGATGCATTAGGCCCTGGGTGGATGGGTGGATGGATGGATGGATGGATGGATGGATGGATGGATGGATGGATGGATGGATGGCTCTCTGACGTTGTGCATCTCTTTTTATGAGAAAACTGAAGTGTAACAGGTTTTCTTCTGTGCAGTACATGGTGGGGCCAGGCTCCTACAACCCAAAGCCCATTGAGAGATCAGTGTACTCCAGCCAAATACCATTCTGGTCATCTGCCAAGAGATTTGACAGAAGGTCCTACCGCCTCTTTACTGGCAACAAGGTGAGTGGATGGACACAGCAGTGAGAGAGGGATGCAGGAACAGTCAGGCTCTGAGCTTCCTCCATGACCACCCCCAGTCCATTACTAGCACCCCTGGGAGAGGACAAAACTCTTCTGAGCCAAAGTAAAGGTGGGCACTCCTCACCAGCTTCAGCCAGCTAAATGTTAGGTGTGCCCTCTGAATGGAGCAGGACCCCTGTAGAAGTCCTCCATTAGGTGGCCATAGAAGGGCAGACTGGCCTCAGGAGGGGCTTTTCTCTCCCCATTGATTATCGAGGAAACCTGAGCAACTTGACCAGATACCCGTCCTTTAGAGATGAGACGAGTCCCTCTCTGGGTGCTGTTGTTCTTGCCCAGCACAGGTTGCTAAAGAATGAACGGTGAATAAAGGCCCATGGCCCAACGTCCTGCCAGGTCAAGGGAAAGGTGCTCCCTGTGTACAGCAGTGTGGTGAGCACCCACCGCTGAGCACCAACCACTGAGCAGGTGCTGCCCATAGGCGGGTGAGCTTGGCTGAGCAGAGGGGCAGGAGCTCAGCAGCGATCACGTTATCTCTGCCTGCATCCTCAGGCCTTTGCCGTTTTCAAGGGATGCTCAGACAACCCTTCCCATTAGTTTTGCTCTGCATCAGCTGCAGGCAAGCGGATGCACTTCATGGATGAGGGCAGCTGAATTTGAGTCCTTTTAGGGGCCAGAAACTCCTTGTATCCTCCTGGAAAGTCATATTCTGCTACTTGAAAGCCATTTTTTCCTCTAGCAGCTTCAGCAGCACGTTGCAGAGCCAGTGCAGGTAGCAGCCCTTCCATTAGTACATGTTCCTGGAGCTGTATTCATCTTTGCAGCTTCCCCATGGAGAACCAGAACAAAGCCTAAAGTGCTCAAAGCAGACAGGGAAAGCTTTAGTTTGACACAGTCCACTTTGGCTAGGGACGAGGAGCAGGCTTCCACATAGTTTCTCTCCTTTATCCAGCTGAGTGGGGAACAGGCAACTTGAAAGAGGTCAAATTTGAAGACATCTTCGTAATTGCTGGGGAACTTTGCAGATTACATTTCAGTGAGGAGGTTGTGACACAGCAGCCCTTCACTACAGCTAGTAGTAGGCAGCTGGTGAGTGTGCTCCAGCCCGCAGAGCTAATCGACTTCTTTATGGACCGCTGCAGCAAGAACTGCTTGTGAAAGGGACTGTCCGGGCTAACACCGATTAGCGGGTCTTCTCCTCTGTCCCCCGCAATATAGGCTCAGTTTGATTAATGTGTGCCACGTGCTGTTGCATCAGTCACTGAGGCGAGCAGCTCCAGCGCTGGCACAATCTGCAATGGAGTACTCCAGCAGGGTGTACAGTGGGGTTTCCCAAACCAGGGGAACCTCACGGGCAGCTGAAAGACCCACCGGGAGCCCACAGTTCACACCACAGCGACAGACAAAACTTGGGCAGGGCCAGGAGCAATGGCAGCCAAAACCCACAGCACATATAAAAGCCCCTGGGGAGTGCTAGTTACCAGGGAGGGCAAACAGGGCCTGATGTGGCAGTTTGTGCAGGAAGGGGGCTGAAGCTCTGCCATCACATGAGGCTTACAGGACAACCAGGTGATCAGGCGCAGTCAGCATAGGTTTATGAAAGGCAAGTCCTGCTTGACTAACCTGATCAAGATGACCCACTTAGTGGATGAGGGAAAGGCTGTGGATGTTGCCTACCTTTACTTTAGTAAAGCCTTTGACACTGTTTCCCACAGCATTCTCCTGGAGAAATTGGCTGCTTATGGCTTGGATCAGCATACGCTTCACTGGGTAAAAAACTGTCTGGATGGCTGGGCCCGAAGAGTGGTGGTGAATAGAGTTAAATCCAGTTGGTGGCCGGTCTCAAGCACTGTTCCCCAGGGCTTAGTATTGGGGCCAGTTCTGTTTAATACCTTTATCAATGATCTGGATGAGGGGATTGAGCACGCCCTCAGTAAGTCTGCAGATGACACCAAGTTGGACAGGAGTGTTGATCTGCTTGAAGGTAGAAAGGCTCTGCAGAGTGATCTGGACAGTCTGGATCAATGGGCTGAGGCAAATGCTATCAGGTCTAGCAAGGCCAAGTGCCAGGTCCTGCACTTG